CCAGAAAACAAGATGGTGACGACCAGAAAACAAGATGGTGACGACTGGAAACCAAGATGGTGACGACCAAAAAACAAGATGGGGATGTCTAGAAACCAAGATGGTGACGACTAGAAACCAAGACGGTGACGACTATCAATCAATCAATCAATCAATGTTTATTTATATAGCCCAATATCACAAATGTTACATTTGTCTCAGTGGACTTTACAGTTTGTACAAAATATCAGTATGACAATACGACACCCTCTGTCCTTAGACCCTCACATCGTACAAGGAAAAACTTCCGGAGAAAACCCACAGTTTAAAGGGAAAAATGGGAGAAACCTCAGGGAGAGCAACAGAGGAGGGATCCCTCTCCCAGGATGGACAGACGTGCAATAGATGCCGTGTGTAAATTGAAAAGATAATACATTTGCAACATAGGTAGTCCAAATGTTTGGAAATGCATGTGTGTATAATAGGAAGATGAATCCACGAGGATATCCATCCAGGACCTATGATCCAGGACCACAGCCACGACTCAAGATCCAGGGCTCGCGATCCAGGACAGAGGAGCGCAGGATCATCCATGACTCCGGATCCCGGCGTATATAGACACCAAAAAGAAAGACATTTGGGGAAGCTGGGTTAATCGGAACATGAGAGTACACAGGTATAGACAGAGAGAAGGAAGAAGTAAGATGTCCCCCGACAAACTAAGCCTATATCAGCAAAACTAGGGGCTGGATCTAATCAGCCCTAACTATAAGCTTTATCAAAAAGGAAGGTCTTAAGCGCACTCTTAAAAACGGATAGGGTGTCTGCCGCCCGAACACAAACTGGAAGCTGATTCCACAAATGTGGAGCTTGATAAGAAAAGGCTCTGGCTCCCATTGTACTTTTAGAGACTCTAGGAACAACCAACAACCCTGCATTCTTGGAACGCAATGCCCTAGTAGGACAGTAGGGTATAATGAGTTCTTTAAGGTAAGATGGCGCCTGCCCATTAAGGGCTTTGTAGGCGAGAAGAAGAATTTTAAATTCTATCCTGTGTTCTATAGGATGCCAGTGTAAGGCAGCCAGAACAGGAGTAATGTGGTCCCTTTTCCTAACTCTGGTTAGTACACGAGCCGCAGCATTTTGAATCAGCTGAAGCGACTTGACTAACTTCTTGGTACACCCTGATAATAAAGAGTTACAATAATCCAGCCTTGAAGTAACAAATGCATGGACTAGTTTCTCTGCATCGTTTTGAGGCAAGATATGCCTGATTTTTGCAATGTTACGTAGATGGAAGTAGGCGGTCCTTGAAATTTATTTTATGTGGGCGTTAAAGGATAAATCCTGATCAAATATAACACCAAGATTCCTTACAGTCTCACTGGAGGCCAAATTAATGCCATCCATAGTTAGTATATCCTTAGATAATTTGTTTCGTAGATTCTTCGGGCCAAGTACAATAACTTCAGTTTTGGTCGTGTTTAACATCAAAAAGTTTAAGGTCATCCACGTTTTTAAGTCCTTAAGGCAGTCTTGAATTTTATTTAGATGATTAATTTCATCAGGCTTGATTGATAAATATAGTTGAGTATCATCCGCATAACAATGAAAGTTTACAGAATGATTCCTTATAATATTGCCTAACGGAAGCATATATAATGTGAACAAAATAGGTCCGAGCACTGAGCCCTGTGGCACTCCATGGCTAACTTTGGTTTGCGTGGAAGATTCATCATTGACACGTACAAACTGAGAGCGTTCAGATAGATAGGACCTAAACCAGTCTAAAGCAGTTCCCTGTATGCCAACTAAGTGCTCTAGTCTTTGCAATAAGATATCATGGTCGATAGTATCAAATGCAGCACTGAGATCGAGCAAAACAAGAATAGAGACACGTCCCTTGTCAGAGGCTATTAGAATGTCATTTGTGACTTTAACCAGAGCTGTCTCTGTGCTATGATGTGTTCTAAAGCCAGACTGAAAAGCTTCAAATAAATCATTGTTTTTTAAGTAATCACACAACTGTTTTGCGACCGCTTTCTCAAGAATTTTTGAGAGGAACGGAAGATTAGAAATAGGTCTATAGTTGGCTAAAACCTCTGGATCGAGGTTGTGCTTTTTAAGAAGCGGTTTTATCACTGCTACTTTGAATGATTGTGGAACATAGCCTGATAATAAAGACATATTCATAATATTTAATAAATAAGTGCTAATTAATGGAAAAACTTCCTTCAACAGCTTAGTTGGAATTGGGTCTAACATGCACGTTGATGGTTTAGAAGAGAGAATCATTGAATTTAATTGTTCAAGGTTTATGGCTGAAAAGCATTCTAGTTTACTATCTAGTGTAATATTAGAACTTACGTTTCCGGGAGCTGTTGATAACACTATACTGGTCAAAGGCAAGAGGTCATTAATTTTGTTTCTAAGAGTAACAATTTTATCGTTAAAAAAGCACATAAAATCATTACTACTGAGTGCTATGGGAATAGAAGGCTCAATCGAGCTGTGGCTTTCTGTCAGCCTGGCTACAGTGCTGAAAAGAAATCTTGCATTATTCTTATTCTCATCTATTAATGAAGAGTAGTAAGCTGCTCTCGCTTTACGCAATGCTTTCTTATATTCATTGAGAGTAATATGCCAAATTAAACGAGATTCTTCAAGTTTAGTAGAACGCCATATCCTTTCAAGTTGTCTCGACTTTTGCTTTATTTTGCGGGTTTCGGCATTATGCCATGGAGCTAGTCTATGTTGTTTTATTTTCTTCTTTTTCAAAGGAGCAACAGAGTCTAATTTTATTCGCAGCGCATCTGTAGCACTATCAACAACATGATCAATTTGGGGTGGTGTACATTTTGTATAAGTTTCCTCCCTTACATGCAGACATGCTATCGAGTTAAGTATTGGTGGAATCTCTTCCTTAAATTTGGCTATAGCACTAACAGATAGGTTTCTGCTGCAGGAGCTTTTGACTAATGCTTTGTAGTCTAGTAACAGTACTTCAAAAGTTACTAAGAAATGGTCGGATAAAGCAGGATTATGCGGTTCGACTAATAGTTGCTCAATTTCAATACCATAAGTCAGAACAAGGTCGAGAGTGTGATTATAGCAGTGGGTTGGTTTATTTACACTCTGACAAAAACCAACAGAATCTAATATAGAGTTAAATGCAACAGTAAGGCTATTTTTATCATCGTCAACATGAATATTAAAGTCACCTACGATAATTACTTTATCTGTTTTAAGAACCAAAGTTGATAAAAACTCAGAGAATTCAGATAAGAATTCTGAATAAGGACCTGGTGCACGGTACACTGTAACAAATAAGATTGGCTGCAAAGTTTTCCAGGTCGGATGCGTAAGACTAAAAACGAGACTTTCAAAGGAGGTATAATTTAATTTTGGTTTAGTATTGATAAGTAAACTTGAGTCAAAGATGGCTGCAACTCCACCTCCTCGGCCCGTGCCTCGGGCAATATGAGTATTGATATGGCTGGGTGGAGTGGCCTCATTTATGCTGACATATTCTTCATGTCTCAACCAAGTTTCAGTGAGACAGCATATATCAATATTATAATCTGATATTAAATAATTTACCAATATTGCTTTAGATGCTAGAGATCTTATGTTTAAGAGACCACATTTAATATTCCTGTTTTGTTGCACTGTAGTAGTTGTTACATTTACTTTGATTAGGTTATTATGTATGACACCTCTATTAGGTTTTACCTTAACTTGTCCTTGGGCAGACACACACACCGCTAATATTGGGTATTTTATTGGGTTCGGGATTCCTATGGATGACTGCCTAGGAGAGAGCGCAGAGAAGCGTGTAAGACTGCGACTCCGCCTCCTGGTCTCAACTCCAGTTTGTCATGGATTAAGTCCACAAAGCCCTGAAATGTTTGCCGAAATGAGATTTGCACCTTCCAAAGTAGGATGAATGCAGTTAATAGAAAAGTGGACGAGCCCACTACAAGCCTTTCAGCTATAATGCCCAAATCAACAAAGTATGATGAGGCATACATCTCCCTTGACATCTAACGTGGTCGGTGGGGAGCTCTCGTTGCACTGCTGCAGCACCGTGCGTGCACACAGAGATCTGCCGGTGGAGAACAGAGCATTCAAAAGTGATAATCTACTCTACTCTCTACAGAGCTAGATGTGGTCAATGCTCATTTGCCATAAGTATGTTCGCGGAAACACGAGCAATCTGTCCATCAGCTGGCCAAAAGGCATCATATTCATACAGGGAAATGCACCGTTTTCAACTTCCTTAACTCAGAGTTCTGTTGCTCTAATTACGTGTAAGGTGGGAGAAGTACTCAGATCAAGTACTTAAGTAAAAGTAGTATGCTGCAGGGTAGCTTGTGAATTTACTCCAGGTGGAACTAAAGTCTGATTCAACACTTGATTAGATTTCACATCATTCATCCACATCTGTAAAGTAAGTAAAGGTATTAAATACATGTAGTGGAGTAGAAGTACACCATGTACCTCTGAACTGTAGAGGAGCAGAATTACAAAGAAGCAATAGTGGAAATACTTAAGTACCTCAATATAAGTACAGTACTTCAATAAATCTACTTACTACCACCACTGCAGGTATTTTATGTGTGCTAGCAGCCCATAATCCACACTATACATAACATTAATCAATGTGAATTCTGTTTCTAATTTGTTACGTTTTTCCCCTAAGAAATAACCTATAAAAATACGGTTAAAGAACCGGATCGATAAGCAGTATCTGTAATTGTTTCAATTAGGCCTCATTATTTCACAGTGGCACAGGATCATCTGCCAATACAAGCGCTTTTGTTCATGTTCAATCCATAATAAAATATACAATTATAGTTGGATCTTTTTGTCTTGTTATTATTAGCAGAGAAAATGTTATGTTTGTACAACTATATACAATGAATTCTACCAATCTCAGTGGGAATCAGATTAGGGGGGGCTCGAAAATATTTCCAATTATACAAGGGGGGCCTGACTGAAAAAGGTTGGGAACCGCTGTGTTAGAGGTTATTCCCAACCCAAGCTAGCAGCAGATTTTTACACAGGATGTATATCTTGGACATGTTGAGGCCGTACATCATAGGGCTGAAGAGAGGCTGACAAGTGAGGAAATATAATGATAAAAATATTCTCAACGTGTTGGGTACACCGCTCATATTAAACCTGCTCTGCAATATCTCAAAGAAAACTCCAAAGGAGAAGTTGATGAGGGAAGCGAGGTGAGGTGTGCAGGTGCTGAGAGCTTTCTGTCTGCTCTGCTTACAGCCAGAGAAACACACTCTGAGGATCCTCATGTACGTGAAGAAAAATACAGATAGGGGACCACAGACAGTGAAAAAAGTAGCAATAAGTTCATACACATTATTGACTGTAGTGTCAGAGCAGGCCATCTTAACAATGGAGTAGTTATCACAGTACACTTTGTTAATGATGTTCCCACACAGCGTTAAAGACACACTCAGTGATATCGTGACAAAGACAGCAACAAAAGGAGGAAACCATATGGCGGCAATGAGCACGACAACCATATTATACGTCATACGTGAGTTATATTGCAGAGGATAACAGATAGCAATATATCTGTCATAAGACATGACGGCTAAATTAGTAAATTCCACACTTCCATAAGAGTACACAGAGAAAACCTGCAGGAAGCAGAGCGGAGCAGAGACAGTGTGAATGTCAGAGAGGATCTGAACCAGCAGGAATGGAAACAACCCTGTACTACCATACAGTTCATTTACAAACAGGCTGCACAGAAAAAGGTACATAGGTTCATGTAAGCTCCTGTTCACACAGATAACCACAATCAGCAACACGTTGGCACCTAAAATACACACATATAAACACATGACAATCGTGAAGAACAAGTACTTAAAAACCCCTGTTTCAAAGTAAGCACCAAGTATAAAATATGAAATATGAGTAGAGTTCACCATGATTCCACTTTGGTTCAGAATACTGTGCACAGGAACAACAGGAATAATACTAAACTCACATTTGGTCTGCTAAAACAAGTTTAAATGTTAACATGCATCACATAGTAAAGCTGCAATAATAATAAATACATTTTTGATGCAGAACATTTGTTTGTCAGCCTTTTAAATCTCCAGATGTTCAGCTTTTCTCTTTTAAATATCAGAGTAAAGCGAGGTTCTGTGGACATTTAAGGACATTACCTTGGACATATCTCACACATGTTTTGCACAACACCATTATTCTACCAGATAATCTGCAGATCAAACCATATTCAATAAAGTGACTTTGCCTTGACAATGATAATAAAAGTAATCGAGTCGCAGCAAAAGCATCAACACAAACAGCATTCAGTCTCTCTGCAGTCAACACATGAGAAATGCATAATTAGTGCTAAGCATCTCAAGCTTACCCGTCTCTGGTTCAGACATAAAGGTTCGTGATATATCTGCAGACACAGTTGAAGCCTGAGAGGCCATCCTAACTTAGCCGAGACTCTGTGCTGCGTGTTTTAAGCTTTTAACATCAGAGGACGTCCCTATCCTTAAAGTCACAGGAAGTTCTCCCTCTGATTTATTATTGAACATTTGTGGGTATTCAAAGAGAGACATATAGAAATAACAGAACATTCATACTGCAGGAAAAACAAAGTTTATTATATACTTCACATCTTTCCATTGAGCAGTGAAATGCTTTGCTAGCACCTCCTAGTCGAAGAGTAGTAATGATAACAAAATATACGAAATAAAGTATTTACATGACAGAAAATAGAAGATTGTGATACATTTTAAACAATTTCAGCTGCTGTCAGAGTTTAACACAGTGTAGCTAACCGTAAGCCTGAGGTTTAAATTCAACACAGTGTAGCTAACCGTTAGCCTGAGGTTTAAATTCAACACAGTGTAGCTAACCGTAAGCCTGAGGTTTAAATTCAACACAGTGTAGCTAACCGTTAGCCTGAGGTTTAAATTCAACACAGTGTAGCTAACCGTAAGCCTGAGGTTTAAATTCAACACAGTGTAGCTAACCGTTAGCCTGAGGTTTAAATTCAACTAAATGTAGCTAACCGTTAGCCTGAGGTTTAAATTCAACACAGTGTAGCTAACCGTTAGCCTGAGATTTAAATTCAACACAGTGTAGCTAACCGTAAGCCTGAGGTTTAAATTCAACACAGTGTAGCTAACCGTAAGCCTGAGGTTGAAATTCAACACAGTGTAGCTAACCGTAAACCTGAGGTTTAAATTCAACACAGTGTAGCTAACCGTAAGCCTGAGGTTTAAATTCAACACAGTGTAGCTAACCGTAAGCCTGAGGTTTAAATTCAACACAGTGTAGCTAACCGTAAGCCTGAGGTTTAAATTCAACACAGTGTAGCTAACCGTTAGCCTGAGGTTTAAATTCAACACAGTGTAGCTAACCGTAAGCCTGAGGTTTAAATTCAACACAGTGTAGCTAACCGTAAGCCTGAGGTTTAAATTCAACACAGTGTAGCTAACCGTAAGCCTGAGGTTTAAATTCAACACAGTGTAGCTAACCGTAAGCCTGAGGTTTAAATTCAACACAGTGTAGCACACCGTAAGCCTGAGGTTTAAATTCAACACAGTGTAGCTAACCGTAAGCCTGAGGTTAAAACTCAACACAGTGTAGCTAACCGTTAGCCCGAGAATGACTTGTGGTTTCTCCTCCTTAGGCCATTTGGCGGGAGATTAATGTGTGCATCTGGACCCGGTGACGACATTACCTATTGACGCAGCAACCACTGTAAGTTATATTCTTGTTTAATTAGACTTCTCGGTTTCATTTATTCGACTCTGTATAATTGTTATTGTACCTTAAACGGCTAAATCGCTTTTGAGAGATTTTAAATCTCAGATCTGCTCAGGCGAAACCTGCTTCACAGGTCTCAGCACTCAAGCCTGCATTATTAATATAGGCAGGGCCAGTCTATTGTCGCCCATCAGCTGTAGATAGTTAACTAATTAGAGGGGCGTGCCCCTACAGCTGTGAGAACTGAGCAATCAGGCGTCCATTTTTAGGTATCGCTTTTCTGGAGCGTCAGCTTCAGCGTCAGACAGCCGAAGACTGACAAAGACATTAGAGTCCTGCTGGAGTCAAAGACTGACAAAGACATTAGAGTCCTACAGGAGTGACGAGGGAGGCAAAGAGGAGGCAAATCCTACTTTGATTGAGCTAAGTATCGCTGGTGTTTTTATTTTCTATTTTGTTTCATTTTATTTGGTTGTTTAGCCCCTCATGCTATAATCATGTGTATTTTCTCCATTCCTGTTCATGTGTCTTCTCGCAATTATCACTGGCCCCGTGTATCTCGTAATCGATATAACCGGCCTGCTCTCGTCTATCCCACGTGCTCCACTGAGATCCAACATCTAGTTTCAGGCGGCCTGTGGAATTGCCAGTCAGCTGTTCCTAAGGCTGACTTCATCTCTGGCTACGCCTCCCTGCAGCCTCTGGATTTCCTTGCTCTCACTGAGACCTGGATTACTCCATCCAACACATCCACCCCAGCAGCTCTCTCCACTACATATTCCTTCTCCCATACACCCAGACCCACTGGCAGAGGAGGTGGCACTGGTCTCCTGCTCTCTCCCAAATGGAGCTTTTCCCTCTTCAAGCTACCTAACTTCACTCCTTCCACCTTTGAGTTCCATGCCGTCACAGTAACCCATCCTATACAGTTAACCATTGTTGTTCTCTACCGTCCACCAGGCGCCTTGGGGGACTTCTTGGAGGAATTAGATCATCTCCTCTCACACATCCCTGAAACTGGCCCTCCCGCTGTACTTCTCAGAGACTTCAACCTCCAGACGGGGAAGATAGACGAACTAACATCTCTGTTAACCGCCTTTGCTTTCTCACTGTCTCCATCCCCACCAACTCATAAAGCTGGCAATGTCCTTCATCTCATATTCTCAAGGAACTGCGCTACTTCTAACCTCTCTGTAAACCCGCTCCACACATCCGATCACTTCTTCATTTCATTCTCTCTATCCCTTTCAAAACATAACAAACTAATCTCTTCCCATCCTACACTTGTACGCCGTAACCTTCGTTCCCTCTCCCCCTCTACCTTTGCCTCGTCGGTGCAATCAGCCCTCCCTTCCTCTGATTCGTTCCATCTCCTGCCTCCAAACTCTGCTGCAGAAACTCTCCTCTCTACTCTCTCATCCACTCTGGACTCTCTCTGTCCTCTCACATCTCTGCAGGCTCGTCAGTCCCCTCCTGCTCCCTGGCTAAATGATGCACTGCGTGCTAATAGAACCGTCCTTAGGGCAGCAGAGCGGAAATGGTGGAAATCCAAACACCGTGACGACCTCCTAACCTATCAAGCTCTCCTCTCCTCTTTCTCTGCTTCGATCTCTCAGGCAAAAAGCACTTTCTTTCAAGATAAGATCCAATCTTCCTATTCCAATCCTAAAAAACTATTTTCCATCTTCTCCACCCTCTTGGACCCTCCAAAAGCCCCTCCCCCCTCCTCACTTCTGTCAAGCGACTTTGTTACCCACTTTGAAAAAAAGGTTGATGATATTTGCTCTTCTTTTTCTGACTCACCTTTACTCACCGCTGGGTCACCAGACCCTCCTTCCACCAACACACTAACCTCCTTTTCCCCTCTCTCTCCAAGTGAGGTTCTTATCCTCATTACCTCTGCCCGCCCTACCACCTGTCCTCTGGACCCTATCCCTTCAAACCTCCTTCAGACTATCGCTCCTGATATTCTACCGTTTCTCACCCATTTCATCAACACTTCTCTAACTTCTGGTCACTTTCCAAACAGTCTCAAGGAGGCAAGAGTAAACCCTCTCCTAAAGAAACCCACTCTCAACCCGTCTGATGTTATAAACTACAGGCCTGTCTCTCTCCTCCCGTTCCTGTCTAAATCACTTGAACGCGCTGTCTTTAAACAACTCTCCTGCTATCTCCATCAGAACAACCTTCTGGATCCGCACCAGTCTGGTTTCAAGGCAGGTCACTCCACAGAAACTGCCCTCCTTGCTGTCACTGAGGAACTGTACACTGCTAAAGCAAGCTCCCTCTCCTCTGTCATCATCCTTTTGGACCTGTCTGCTGCATTCGACACGGTGAATCATCAGATCCTCCTTCGCACTCTCCAAAAACTTGGAGTTTCAGGCTCTGCACTTTCCCTCCTCACCTCATACCTGAAAGACCGTACCTACAGGGTGACTTGGAGAGGGTCTGAGTCCGACCCTTGTCAATTAACTACGGGGGTCCCTCAGAGCTCTGTTCTTGGTCCCCTCCTCTTCTCCCTGTACACAAACTCGCTCGAATCAGTCATTAGCCCGCATGGTTTTTCTTACCACTGCTACGCTGACGACACCCAATTAATTCTGTCCTTTCCCCGCTCAGAGACCCAGGTCGTTGCACGCATCTCTGCTTGTCTAGCTGACATCTCTCAGTGGATGTCTGCTCACCACCTCAAGCTCAACCTTGACAAGACTGAGCTGCTCTTCCTCCCGGGAAACGATTGTCCCATTCTTGACCTAACAATCAACATCGGCACCTCAGTTGTTTCCCAGACTCAGACTGCAAGGAATCTGGGTGTGACCCTAGATAACAACCTGTCCTTCACTGCAAACATCGCTGCTACAACCCGTTGCTGCAGATACACGCTTTACAACATCAGGAAGATACGTCCCCAGCTGACTCAGAAAGCGACTCAGGTTCTGGTCCAGGCTCTCGTCATCTCACGCCTAGACTACTGCAACTCCCTCCTGGCTGGTCTACCTGCATGTGCCATCCGACCTCTGCAGCTCATCCAGAATGCAGCGGCTCGTCTGGTCTTCAACCTTCCTAAATTCTCCCACACCACTCCGCTCCTCCGCTCCCTTCACTGGCTTCCGGTAACTGCTAGAATCCACTTCAAGACACTGGTACTTGCTTACCATGCTGCGACTGGATTTGGCCCTTCCTACATCCAGGACAT